TAAAGGTGCACTGCGTAACTTGTCTGCTGGAGGGTCCGTCACCACTTGAACCATGGACGTGTCTAGAATATTCCATAAACTTATGAATTTCCATGAAGACTTGCAAGCCAAATCACAGTTTAGATTTGTGGAGAGCCCATTCAGAGTAAGAATGGATGTTTTTTAAGATATTTTTGAGCAATAAATAATACCTGTAGTAGAATAAATACAAGATATTAGTTTAATACCATACTGTGGATAATTTAAACCAAATCATCAACATCTTCATGAAGATAAACATGTTCCAGACCCCCTCCAGAAAAGTTACACAGTGCACCTTTAAACTGAATTGGTTTAAAATACCAGATAACAGTCTGGTACTGCTTGACAAAAATAAATGACAAAGAAATTAACAAGATAAGAAAAGGGAATAACTCTCGCTAACCAGCAGCATTTTCATATTTAACCTAGAGCACCAGGCACAATAGAGCCACAAAGGAAGTACATTTAGGTTATGAAGATAGGCATTTTAAAAAGTAGATATTTGAGATGGCAAGGGTTAACCGGACTACAATGCCAGGAAATCTCTTCAGGATGTGAAATGGGCACTGAATGTACACTCCCATTGCTCCCACAGGAACACTGGGCACAACTATTATGAAAAACCTGTTTCATCATAACAGTAACTCCTCAATTCCTCTGCTTTATGTCCCATCCACAGAGAAGAGACAGGCCTATATCCCTCTCCTCTGTGGGCTGTACTAGGATTAGATGAGGTACAGCTTTGCCAATTTAGCTGCATCCCCTATCCTGACAGCTGGCACTTCACCTAGAGCAGGATGTCCCACACGGTGCAGTCCAACTCACAAAAGCACCTCAGTTTAGGGAACAGACTGGCTTTTCATTCCTCAGGAGAAGGATATGCATCAAAGTATGCTATAAGAAGTTTCTGGAACAATCTCCCAAGTGGCAATATCTTAACAGACATGTTTTTGTGTCCAAACTTTGTATAAAAATCCACTGGACACACAGCCACTTAACAGTTTCGCCTTGAAACAAAAATGATAAAAGAATACGTGAACTGGAGTCGACATAAAAGCTGTAAAAATAGCCATATTTTAACATATTAAAGAACATTAGAAATTTCCAATACACAAATATTTTGGTTTGGCTTACAACTGGTCAGACCCGCTGAGATTAAACCAGGTGTACGGGGCATGTTTGTTTAAAGGAGGGTTTTGGATCCCCTCAGAGCACACACAAAGCCAATAGAGAGAGACATGCCCATAGGAGTCTTCAGTCCGGACTCTTATCTACACACAGCAGCATGCTCCTGCTCCCAGCCCGTACAGTCCTAGGGCAGATTCAGTCCGAGTCCAAGAGAAAGACCTCAGAGAGGTCAGAGGTCAGAGGTCAGAGGTCAGGGGCAGGTGTGGCCTGTGCTCCATCAAGTGCAATGATTGGAATGAACAACAGCTCTAGTGCCTCTTCATGGACGAGACTTTCTTCTTTCTGGCTGCAAGCATCTCATAGAAAGGGTCTCTGCTGATGGCAGCTCTGTGGCACAAAAAGGATACACTGGTTATGTTCACATACACACCAGGAATCTGATCATCATCAAATTTTGAGTTAATAGATAATTGAAAGGTCGAGTTGCATCAGACCTCTTTCTGATTGTTCACACATGTGTAGGTATTAACAAGGATGTTTTGGAAAAATATATAATGCATATACAATATGCATTGATTTGAACCAGTGAGAAAAGTGCCCTTACTTGATACTGTTTATCCATTCATCCTTTTCCTCTGCAGTTGGAGCAGAGATTCGGTAAAAGGTGTGGTTGCCCTCAACAACACGACCATCTGCTTCTGTCTTACAAGCTTTTATCACCTGGTCCTTATTGTCGGGAATGAAAAGCTCAAAACAATTCTATAAAGGAGAAGATGCATAGTTTAATCCAAGTGTGACTATTGCAGTGTTGTTCATACAACAACAGGTGGAGCTGTACTTACAGGCTTCTTGTCCTCAACTTCCCTTATGCTTAGGTTTTCCAAGTGGGATGATTCCTCTTGGCTCTTTGTCCTGCAAAAATACACATTTTACACAAACTGTAAACATCCAAAGTAAAACTGCAGAAACAAATCCAACTTACAGTTGTGTACTCAAAGTAGTAGAGGCAATTATCTGTGAGGATAAACCATCGCCTCTTCCAGGTTTTTACACGTCCCCCTGTGGAGCAAAAAGACCAAATTAGAAAGACTAAGAGATTAAGCAAGAGATGATGGAGATGAAGAGATGAAACACCAGGCCGGGTAGCAACAGGCAGACACATGTATGGCTAGACAGACGCATGAAGACCCCTTAATGTGCCCTCTCATTAAACCTCATGAGCCCACTCAAACATACACCTCCATGTTCTAATTCCCCATACTCCATACTTTTTTTAAACTATTATTTAAATGTATACGACAATGCACTGTATATGTTACCCTTCTTTTGTCTGTAAACATTTAGCTATCATTCATTTACTTATTTTAAATTTAATTTTATTCTATATTACAAAAAGGGTTTTATGCTGGTTCAACGGTGAGGCCTTTATTAACATGCTGAACACTTGCTGTTCGGGGGCTGACCTTTGACCCTTTGTCACCCAAACTTCCTGAGAGGAGATACCTGATCACAATAACAGATGGAGGGCGTACTGTGGGAGGCCTTAGATGTTAAAAGCCCAGGGCTATGCCTGCTGCATCTATAGGCTGTTTGTTATCCTGCTAAACAAGAAATTAAGCTTTTCTATACTGCACAGCCCCACCACCAGTGTTAGTGCAAACCCATCCACCACAAAACTACGGGAAAGTTTTGTACATTAAAAAACACACTTGTTCTATCATATAGCAACAGTAATGCTGCATATGATAAGGCTTGAGTCTGGACATATTTGAATCTACATTGGACGGGCAGATCTCCACTAGATAATTGCAGACAAACACACAGGTGAAATGATGGCAGAATCAGGGGTTGTATAATTGATTTGGTAAGTTTGGATTTACTGATGGTCAATTCCTGCAGCAGCAAAATAGACAATAGGAGTCTCCTTCCAAGCAACAATGTGTGGAACAAGATGTGAGGTTCCAGCGGATTGTTGCAGGGGGAAAATGGTGCTAGACTGAACCGTACAAGATGGAGGTACGCTAATCATTTAATGATATGATGAGATTTTAAAGTATCCATTAAAATTATGTATTATTTAAGGATTGATAAACAATTTAGTTAACAGGGTCCAGTCCAGTCTAGCATCCTGCTGGCCACAGCCACATTTATATACTTTAAATTCTTATTAGCAAAGCAACATGTTGAAAAGGTGCAGTATTCCCTTCCATGCAATAGAGCAAAAAATAGCCAATTTTGTGTCATATTAAGTCACTTTGTTGTGCTCGCTGTATGGAGAAGAGGTATAATGCAACTTCTACAAAACAAGATCAAAGACTGACCACCAGAGCAAACAGAGAAAAACAGGTTTAAAGTGCCCAGCGAGCGGTCACAAAGTAGCAGCTCCCTGAACCGTGCCCTGGCCCCTCTGTGACAAATCCACCCGCTGAGATAACACACTGTGGACCACCAGCTCAATAACACACTACATGTTTGAAGTTTAGATACAGCCAGTCAATGGAGACAGACAGTAAAAAACACATTAAAACCCTGTATGAAAGAGAACAAAAGCATGGCAGACCACCAAAAGCACCGGAGAGCTGAGGAGATGGACTAGCATTAGAAGAGCAGGTGTACATACCTCCTGAGGAAAAACAACAGCCAAAATCATGGGAACAAACGAACAAACGAAGAGGAAAAGAAACAAAATCATCAAATTAAATGATAAGGAATTACAGCACCACAGTCTTGTTAATCTGGTCCAAGGAGGGTTCAATTTAATGCTTCACAGATTTGACAAGTCTGAATAGTTTAAATGTCACTCCACAAGAGGGAGCTGTTGTGACTATAAACAGTAGTCATTTACTGTAAAGCATTAGATCAAATATGAACCTCAAGTTATTTACAAAACCATAGCTTCCACCATGATTATTAGACTCATTTTCATAATGTAGTATACTTATTAAGAGACCATTTTTTGGGGGGGGTTTGGAGATTGTTGTAACGATTCACTGGATAGACAGCAATACATTTCTATAAATTACATTTATTTTTAAAAGTGAATCTCAACAACAAAGAAAGGTCAGGAAAAACAGAAATGTGAGAAATTAAAGATGGTTTCTGCTTATGAAGAGTAACTTGTAGGCTGTATTTGGCTGAACACAATACTATACGCCAAAACACGATTTTATTTTATGTGCGCATGTTTAAAAACCTTTCCATTAAATAATTCAAAAGATTCCAAATGCAGTGGTCTGATCTCAAGGCCACATTTATTATACATTAAAGAGGCCAGATGTCTTCTGAAGTTTCACTGAGAATGTGCGCACACCTTCCACACACACATTCATACAGGCATTCAAATTAATTCACTGATTATGGGTCTCAGGCGAGAACTGAAGAAATTCCTCCTGAAAAATATTACTTAAAAACAAAAAACAATATTTTTTACATCTGTGCTATTTATCAATTAACACAATAGACTCACCCAGTTTGAGTAGCCAGCCCTCTCTGTCAGGATTAAAGAAAGTGTGTGTGAGGTCATTGCCGTCATCTTCAGGGATTTTAAAAGGCTCGTTCTTTATGCTGTCATACAAATTCTAGACATTGAGCAAAAATGTTTGAGTTACAGTTCCCATAAAAAAGATGAACAACAGAGATCAAACAGGAGGGGAGCTAGTCCTCACCCGGAGCAGGTCCTCAGGCAAGTCTCCACCATCATTGATGCCTCGGTTCATTGAGATGAATCGCTCCACGGTTGGTTTGTCTTTCACATTGGGGTTATGCAGACTAGTGTTCAGCATAATGATGGCAAATGACAGGATGTAACAGGTGTCTGAAACACACATAAACATGTATATTTTTTAAATAAACTGAGCTAGGAAAATTAGCTTTCTATAATAGAGTATTAGGGTTAGAATAGAAGGCTAATTGTGTTTAATGCAATGTTTAAATATGGATGTAAATGAGCCAAGCGAAAGAGGGCTCTTTAGGGACCACAGTGGACACAAACAGCACACAGACTACTTGATCGCAGTGGAGGGGTCAGGGGGCGAGTGTGGGCTGCTGAGTGTGTATGCATGTCTCTGAATATGCACTTTATCTGTGCTGTTGGCCTGTGGAGAAATGTCATACATTATTCAAATCCATCTGCATCCATCTAAGAGGCAGTCATCACTCTGATTGTGGAATAATTTCCAAAAGCAATTTACATTCCTGCAATACAGAGCTCTTTAGGCGGCCTGATGTCTGTTGCAATTAAGCTATAGGAACAAGCAGTATTGTACCTGTGGACTGAAAAACCCCAGGGTTGCACTGGCAGTAGCGCTGAGCAAAGGCCTCCATCATACGGTCGATCTTCTGAGCTTCTCCAGGAAGCCGAAAACTCCACAGAAACTGTCTGTGAGGGGACAGAAAAGAGTCATCAGAAAACTAACAAAATGCAAATTTTCCTGCTCAAAATGTAAATTTTCTTGTACCTTAAAGCCTGAACAAGGTTGAGGTCTGTAAATTCATGAAGTTCCACAAAGGCATGGAGTACCTCTATATTGAAGTCATCTCTGTAGAAGATAAATGACAATTAAACAGGTGTGTGAGTTTATCCACTTATTTAAAATAAACACTTTAATAAAGGAAATTTGAAAATGAACTCTTCTGTCCCACCAGCCATCTCACAGATGACATCAGCCTTGAACTTTATACCCTTCATCGTAAATTATATGCCCTGTGGGATCATGGGATGGATCTCGCCAATACAAGTCATATCCAGTCAGAATTCCCAGTGGACAAGTGACCAATCCTATCTCAGGTTCCCATCATATTTCCACCCTGCCTCACTTCCTCAGAAAATAGACTGAAAAAGGGCCTGATCCCACCACGGTTTATTGGATATGTGCCACATTGACATTTAATAAAACAAATATGTGAGAATGCGTCCTACAGTGATGAACGGTGGTCAGCATCATGTGTATGAGTAAGACCAAGCAAAGAAAAATGTTGATACTACTCAATAGACTTGTTGAAAGGTATTTTTGATCAGTAAATGTAACATTGCATAAGTCACACTCATTCTGCCCTGGACAAAAAACAGGTACAAACAAGAGAGATAAGTAACAAAATTAGGTTTTGTTCTGACCTCTCTCCAAGGTAATCTCCAATGGCTGTTTTGTTAAGACCTTCGCCTTTGTAAAGGAACTGAGCAATATCGTCACTTGTGTTTTTCAGTAGGTCATTCTCGATGAGGAACTGGATCCCCTGTGTAAGAGAAGAATACAGGTTACATCCTGATCATTGTCAGACAAACTTTCGGTGCTTGATAAAACATTACCTTTTTGGGATCCATGTTGAATTTCTTTCGGCCCATGGCCACTTGTTTATTCCTCTGCATATTTTTCCTGAAAAAAAGTTGACACCAAAATTTGTGCAAATTTTAAGTAGGAAACCTCAGGCTGCAAAATAATTTTGGGGTCAAAGTTCAGTTTATAGATTGCCATCTCCATGGATACACTTTTACTTCAAAGGTGAGAGGTCACCACTTTATTCTAAAACATTCCTTTGGCTTTGTCAGCCCAAACCCTGGACTCTGGAGCTTCATGAAGGTGAATACATCAGCAAGCTCAGACCCTATAATGTCTTTGATCACACAATGCACAGGGAGTCTTAATGGGCCTGGGATCCCTATGAGAGCATTTTAGATTCTGAACTGATACGAGCCCTATTCAGTTTAACAGACCCAACCATACGCTGCCTCCCCTGGGACTATGCATTGTCTGCTGCAGTGCCTTCACCCACTGCATTATTGAAGGAGGTCTCCCATGATGGGGGGGTGTACCTGATAAAACATTTAGTGCCTTAAAAGCATAGCCAATTTGGGGGAGGAGCTGTGATGGGATTGGCTTGAATCACCCATGAAACATGAATAATTGACAGATTCATTTGCTAAGTTAATAGAAAGCAAACAAGTCAAGGTAGGCTAAACAACTGTAAAAGTGTTTTGCCTTTTCTTACCTCTCCTCTGTGGAGCCCAGGTTCTCGATCTCACATGTGACTTCTGCTATCTCATCCTTCAGCCTCTGCAGAAAACATAAACAATGGGTTTTAAACAGGAGTTATATGAAGAAGAAAGCATGCAGAATTACAGATGGTGTACACAGCAACAGAGAAAAGGGTGTGACAGATGCAAACAACATGCAAAGTCTTCAGATATGAAGAACTGGGCTATAAAACCTTGGGCATAGACATAACTTTTGCTTTTCCAATTCAGAATTTAATTACACAGATGTATCCTCAATACTAACATGGTGCAATGGTATAGTGGTGGGTTATAATGTATTTTGAGAGACTAATGAACTTATGTACAGTATCTGGCTGCTGAAGCCCAGGTTGCTGGTGCCAGACTGACTTTATTAAAATAACTTGGAGGTCAGTAAATGGAAAACAAAAAAAAAAAAAACAGGAAACAGGTTAAGAGAAAAATAAGATTCAATAAACAGATCTTTCTTTTAGCAAGTACTGACCTTGTGTTAAGAAAGAAAGTCTGACTCTCTTCATGTTATATAGCCCTTATTCTGATCAAGATTCATAAAGTATAACATATATAATGTATGTATGTGGTTAACTTCTCCACAAACTGAATGTTTAGAAATCAGATGTGAGAATTTCATAAAAGCCAAATAGTGGTGTAAAAACTGCACCACAGCAACTGTGCAACTCCTGTGGGGTATTTCCTGTGTGCAGTATCACTTCTGGTTTTGAAAGAAACGTGTCAAAATATCCTGTATGTTTTTGGTTTTTTTGTTTTTGTTTTTTTTATGTGAGAGGTGATTTTAAAGATTTTTTTTTTTTTCTGAGTAGAGAGGAGCTGATTATAGTTAATGAAATGACAAATTTGATTGATTTACATGTGAAATACATTTTTTATAATAACTTAGTATCACAAAACACAAAGAGGAGACGTGTGTTTTAAGTCCTGCGTAATCACAACACATTCCTCAGATTCTTGACTTCTCAGACAAAGCCTGTGCTCTGGCAGGAAAGTGGGTGGCAAAAGTAGGGGTCCTGACATGCTTGAACACTGCTGTAGGAGGAGGTACGGAGGAGGAGGAGGCGAGGGGTCAGTGTCAATCTACAATGAGGGGGGAAAAAAAGGGAGGGAGGGTGCAGTGTGGTGGCTCGGGTGGGGGAAGGGGGTAGGAGTGGTGGGTCGGACTCATAAAAGGGCTGGTGTCAAATCGCGGTCCCTGGGTGAAGACATCTGGATTATAGCTCTCTGTTCTTTGTCTGTTCTTTCTTACAAGCTGAGAAAGGTGGCTACAGCTCAATGTCAAAAAGAAATATAAAAAAAATAAAATAAAACATTGCCAAAACATTTTAATATAGGACTAAGATCAAAAATAGTTCTGTAGGAGCAGGAGTAGGAGTTCTGTTTTCTAGTTATCTTGGTTTCCTATAACAATTACAACTATTTCCTCTGCCATTTTTGGATTCTATATTAAAGTCAATATCTTTAATTAAATCCAGTAAATGCGATAACAAGAAGGAAGTGGTATGCTTTAATTTACCATCAAACTCTCAATATAGACCAGCTGTTATACAATGATGAGTTACAATAATAAGTAATTGATGTCTAAACTGTACTATGCAATAATTATAATAATTTACAAAGAGGCTTTGTAATGAACCTTGAGTTGAATTCTTCACAGTTAAAAATATATTTAGAGATAACAAAAACATAAACACCATCTTTGCCAAGTAAGTCATACCTTGGCAGGAAATTCTCCAAATTCCTCCTCACAACAAAATATTTACAGAGAGGCTTGGAGAAAAATTGTAAACTCTAAATAAGGCAACAGTTTATCAGCTACAAGCAAAAAGGAATAAAAAAGTGCATGCTCATTAAACCTCTTTTTATTTGAACATTTCCTTAGAGTTGGTCAGGATGCAGATCAGAGGGCAATTTCTAGACCTCTCTTTATCATCAGCCACAACTTTCTGGTTTGATGTTTGCACAATACTTTATATTCCAATTTTGTATATTGTCAAAATGCATCAGTTTACATTCTGTTTGCTACGGAATCGTTTTTTTTTTTTCATGCTCAATCCTCTCAGAGGGAATACCTTGGCTCCCAGTGATAGGTTAACATTTTGGTTGATCATTTATTGAAAATTATTACCTGAATGTCTTCCAGCAGCTCCTGTTTGCGCCGCCGGATATTCTCCAACTCTTGCTGTTCCTCTGGGGTGAGGTCGTCCGGCACTGAAAACACACCAGTGAAATATATATTCAAAGATATATTCAACATTTTCTAGTCTACTTGACATTTACAGTGCATAACTTATACTGCAACATGTTTTAAAGTCAGCTGCGGTTAAATGTGACAACATTTTTAAGTTAAAGAAATGGTCTAGGTCATCCGCAAAGTGCTAAGCTGCAGTTCCCGCGCAGCACAAATGTGGCAGGTCTCAAAGCACCTGGCTGTCAGTCACACTGAAAGTGGCTATAATTAGGTTTGTCTGAGCGGGGGACTGAAGGCAAAGCAATTTGTCCTGATTGATGGCACAGAGCACAAGCCTCCACCTTCAAAGCCACGACTACCTGCATTAGGAGACACTACTACTGTGTATCATCATAGTGTGAAGGCTTTAAGACTTGAAATGACGTTAACATGGTCAAAGGATCAAAACAGTACCAATTCTTAAGTATTACAACTACTATAATAACTTAAAAGCTGTGTATTTAACCATAAGAAAGATAGAGATTCAATCATTTCTAATAGTCAATGATCAGTCTTTTTAGTCAGAGGGTCTACAGCCAATTCTCCGTCAGGTAAAAACATGTGGTTTGGAGCAGAGTTCGAGAAAGAAATTGGAATATTGTTGATATTAAATGTCACAGATATTAAAAGTCTGTATTGTTTTCATTCAGGAAATCAATATAATAAAAAAACTGATATTGTACAGCTCCAAGCATTACACTGCATTGATTTGTTCAATTTCTTGTATGGTTGGATATTGTGCATGTGATCTGCTACACAGTTGTACTGCCATAAATGATAATAATGAAACTAGTTTGTGCCACTGACACAAAAAAAAAAAATGAAGCAGGATTATCCTAGTAAACAAATATATAGAAACCTTAGTAGCACCAAGTAAATATCAGAATGAAGCAATAATTAGCCATAGAAGTTACTTTTTCTACCCCCTGTAGCTCAGATATTTTGGTGTTACATAAAAAATAACAAACATTTTCCCACCTCTGTAAAGAAAATTTACACATGTTCAATATTTGAAAGCTGAGACAAGATATTTGGGGCTCAGTATCTATTGTCTGTATATTTTCTTTGCACTATGGTGACATCTTTGCTTATTTTTTGGACACATGATGAGATTATTCTAGAGAGTTGAATTAATAACTTATTTAACTTCACTCCTTGGTTTACATCTGTGAGAGTTAAAAAGTGTTTCATTCTGATGTGTATTTATTGTAACTCACAATTCTTCAACAATATTGCACATTTAGAATAGTTTTTGTGGTTTAAATCTGCTCTCGGGCTATTGTGTCAGTGGCATAAATTTGTTTCAATATTACTGTTTATCGTCTATATTTACTTCCATCAATATATCGCACGACATTTACGATAAGTCGATATAGCAATTATCGTCACCTATTTTATTTCACAAACATTAATATGAAATATTGAATCAATCCTCTCGTCTCACAACAGAGTACACAGGAACTACAGTGTTAGCCCTTCAGTCCAGCTCTCAGCTGCTGCTCAAGTACATTCTGTCACTGTTTCTCTGATTACACACAGCACGAGCACTGGCTGACCCCCATGCCCTCCTCCAGCATTACAACTGCGGCACAGAGCAAAGGTTAAACAGTCTGATGACAAGAGCTGCACAAGAGGATCTTTGCTAACTATGGACAAGGTAATAGTTGTCTTTACAATCTCACCGGCACCAATAATGACACAAAAGGTCATACGAACTTATCAAATAATCACCAAGGATGTGTACCTGTTTTAAACCGGTGTTGTGTATGTGCATAAAAAATTGCAAAGCTGGAAGGAGCTAGACACCTATAGCCTACTCAACCAATTTACTATGGATAGCTTTTGTATTTTACTTGAGTCAGCATAAGCCACAGTGGCAGATAAGATATTAATAGTAGTAATAAAAAGGGAGGTCACTGTTGCTTGGTTATGGTGTGAATAACTGTGAATAATCATAAAATAGTTTCTTCTCAATCGCAAAACTTAAATGTGATATTGAAACATGGCTAGGAATAATGAAAATGCCATAGTAATAGCCCTGTAAGTAAATATTGTACTAGATAAATATACAGAACAGAAAAGGTAACTTTACAAAGCTATTAAAGCAGGTATGGAAAACAGCAAATCATTTTCACAAAGCACAAGCAATGTGTAAAATACCTGACCACATTTTTAAGGACAAGCATTTGAAGTATGTGAAAATCACAAGCCGGACAAACAGGGAGGGTGAGTTGAGAGCAGGAAGGCCATTCCTTTCTGGAAACATGATGTCAGGTTGGGCGACTGGAGGACGCTTATAGAGCCACGGACACATAGAGAGATGACAGGCCCCAACACAACACAACCACAGCATTCCGGGCTCAAAGGACTACCACAAAGTGCAGCACTGGTGGGTTTGAAGAGCAGGAGAAAGGACTATAATTTAACAGCTTGGAGAAGATAGAAAACAACATTATCATTTGAGGGAAGAAATCATCTGTTTGCCTGCATCTTTCAAGATCGCAAACAAGATATGGAAACACTTTCTTGAGATACACTTGGAAGTTTAACATCAGATCGAAGCCACACAATTAATCTATCAGGCAAAACTGACAGACACTAGCCGATACTAAAATGCTCTAGACCAGATTAGCAAGTGTAAAACTCCGTCCACACCAAAGCTAAAAAAAAATATTAATAAAGAGATGACATTTTTCTGATGAGGGCAGATGAGAGCAGAACTATTCACTTCACTAATGCTGAAAGAGGCTGGGAACTCTGCCTAGCTGTCACTTGTTAAACTCTGCATTGGCAAACAAAAGTAGCCAAAAGTAGTAGTCATCAGAATCACAGGAGGTTAAATAGACCAAATTAATTGAAGAGATGAATAAGTTCTTTAGGGAGGCAAATCACCTCAATCCAAACATTATTTTTCTACATTTGGCTCAATTTTATATATGAATGTATGGCAAATTTTATATTATCCATCCCATGCATGTGAATATTGAGTAGTTAATAGCATATTATCAGCTAAATCTGGCAAGTCTGATCTGCGCATTGCCTTTTCATCCTCTGAACCTTATTATTACAGAGTGCAGTTTAACCCAAATCTGCTCTCAAAATAGTCCACATTCTCTATGCCACTTGTATGTGAGATTTTTTTTTTACATAAACACATCCTTTTGTCAACCTATTGTAAGTCATCTTGAGTATTCCTAAAGTTGGTCACGCAGAGCTACTTTTAAAGATGGCTGGGGGAAGGTGGTATCAAGGGAGATACCAATTATAGCTCTGTGTCCCATGGCAGCAGAGCCCACTAATACTCATTCCTATTGCTGTCCTGGCAGAAGACGCAGACATCTCATTTCCACCCAGATCACTGAAGAACTCTCCTTGGAAAATAAGGAAATTAGAATTCAGAGCTTGTAGACATTATAGTCCCTTCTTGCTGTACATGTGACCCCATTTAACAACCTTAATACATGTCACCTTTAAGTCAATAACCTCTTCACCTACATTGTACTTTTCTAATAGAAATCTTGCACTGGGTCAAAGAAGGTCTGTCACAATAACAAATTCTGAAGTATGATCTATGGTTGAAGAAAATATAGACATAAAACAATAATAACGACACAACTTTATGCCAACATTAAAGTACAATTATCCTCTAGAATAATTCTAAATGTAAAATAAGATTAAAAAACACAAATTACAGTAACAAATTAAAACACTTCAGTACTAAGATATTTATCCATCCTTCTTGAGCTAAAATAACAACAACAAAAAAATCCCCACTAGTACAAAGAAAAAGTACACACGATAAATACTGACCCCCAAAAATCATGCTAGACCTAGTCTAGAATAAGGGACATTTTTTAGTTTTAATTGGTGCATGGTTTCCGCAGCAGATGGGAGACAACAGTGAATATGTTTACATTGCCACGCTGCATATGATCTGCTGACAGAGGCAATATATGGAAGAGGAAGCCTAGATATATTTTCATTATGCTGCCACATGTGTCAAAAATGCAATTGCATGTTAACTAAGTGTATCAAGATCCACAACCCCAGGAGTCCATAATTTGCATTTGTGGGTAATATCTAGGTTTGCAGTGTTGGGCATGTTGCTCTTTCTAAACAAATGATCTTCTAACCTTTCTGCTAATGTCCTGAAATTCACACTTCTTAAAGTCGTATCTCCTCAGGCTGTCAAATCAATATTCATGAGGAATGAATACATAAAGAGTAAATAGGATAAATGTTTACCTTTACCAAATAGTTTTATAATCTATTTAACTATATTAGAACTATATAAGACCACATGATAACACAAAAAAAATATTTTATCTGCTCTGTTTACATTTTTTAAAGATCATTTCTTATCTATTGCATTTTTTTATCATTGTGGTATTCAAATTGGTATCAAGACAATTCCTTAATATCGAAATTGAGTTTTAAGTTGACAACACTAAGTCTTTGGAAATCTCATATTTACTTGTAGCTGCTATTGAACTTTGGTCCAAACCAATGAGGAATACTGTTACAACACGAAGCAGTCCTCCCCATGATTACGTTTAATGCATGCAGGACAAAACAAACAATCAATAAAGTGAGCAGAGAAGGGGAAAATACAGAGACAAAGCACTCTCCGGTGCACAGAGGTCTATTAAATCACGGTAAGCTTTCTGATCTCCCCTGCTTTACGCTAGCTGATGATCAACATAAGGCCAAGTGTATCAGCCCGATCAGCGCTGAATCTCTTTATTACAACAAATCCCTCAAGTACAATCCCTCATATATGTCTGAACACACACACACTGGCTTTCCATGCTTTTTGGGTACATTACATTGACTTACATTCATTTCCTGGTGGCTGGTCTAACCTTCACCATAGGCACTACTTGCCTAACCTTAACCTAAGTCTCCATGATGTAGAGCACTGTATACAGATTTTAGTCCCTAGAATATGATGAGTGCCTGCCCGCACAAACTTCTCAGTGGA